GTCGTGGAGGAGCACCGCCTCCGCCTCCGCCTCCAAGTCGCAGAGGAGCACCGCCTCCGCCTCCACCTCCAAGTCGTGGAGGAGCACCACCACCGCCTCCGCCTCCAAGTCGTGGAGGAGCACCACCACCGCCTCCTCCTCCAAGTCATGGAGGAGCACCTCCACCACCACCACCTCCAAGTCGTGGAGGAATACCACCAACGCCTGCTCCAAATCGTAAACTGCCAATCAATGGAGCACCACCTCCCCCACCGCCTCTAAGGGGTTGTTCACCTGGCCCTCCACCACCACCAGGAGCTCCAAGACCTCCCAGTGGTGCACCTCCTCCACCTGGGAGAGGCATTTCCCCTGGTAAAGCACGTGGACCTTATGGGAGAGCACCTCCTACTGTAGCCCCTCGAAGATCGACCTTGAAGCCACTGCATTGGAGTAAGGTAACCAGGGCAGTACAAGGAAGCTTGTGGGAGGAATTACAGAGAAACGGAGAACCTCAAATGTAATGATCTATACCTTGGAAATTCGGAATACATTTTTCTTTTCTAATCTCATGAGATCAATGACGCTCTGTTCTTGTGCAGGGCACCCGAGTTTGATGTTTCAGAACTCGAGACCCTTTTCTCTGCCGTAGCCCCAAAGTCAGATAAAGGTGACAAAAGTGGAGGACGACGAAAATCTCTTGGATCTAAGCCTGATAGGGTTCATCTGGTAATAAGATATAGTTACATAAAGTAAAATTAAATTTGGGAAGGATGACATCATAAGAATTGGTAGTTCTCTTTCATTGTATGTGCTTTTATGTCTTTATGATTGATTGATGGTCCTTGTGATTCTGCATAATCTTCCTTGGATACTATGCACCTTTTTGGTGGACATTTTTCCCTGAACCACTGTTACCACTCTATCCGATTTCTTGAGCTGCATGAATCTTGACCTCTCTCTGTGCAAGCACATTTAGCACTTTTCTGTTTTCACTTGTTAAAACTTAAAACTATTCAAAATTTCCATAATTTGTTTAGATGGTTATGAAGTAGAAAATATTCATGAGCTCTTCAGTGTGTTCAATGAGCATCAAAGAGGCTGTTTCAAGTGTGGCAGTGCTGTTAATAAATCCCACCCCCCCACACACATATGTCTCAATTGAAGAGTTGTGTTTGTCATACTATTTTTTGGTATTAGAAATATTACTCCGCTGCCCTCCCCCCACCCACACACACACTGACACACACTTTGTGTTGTGTAATTTTCAACTCAGTTGATAGATTGGAACATGTTCTTATATTTTCAAGATTTAATTTTCTATGAATGGTTGTAAGTAATTAGTAACCAGTACCCCGTATAATATACGATTGAATATTTCCTGATGCAATAAATAAGCTTCAAAACTACAGGTTAGGTTTTATCCACTTAACCTATAAATGGAATGCTACTCAGTACTCATTGTCCAAAACTGATTGATCTAGTGTCTCTTGGTACGCTTAAGGAAAGACGACTTCATTACATGTCCCCTATGTATGTTGAGTGTTATAAACTTATAATTATCAAAACCTTTTTTTGTATGTTGGAAAAGAATGATTAAAACCCTCACAATCATTTTTTTGTTTTAATTTTATCTTTTTTACTTGTTTCTTTTTTATTTTTGATGGATTTAACTCATTAGTTCAGAGGATAATTACTCCATAGAGCCATATAATTGTTTCTTTCTATTTCCTCTGTCCATTGACACTGCACTTGTTATTTATTATTATTATTATTATTATTATTATTATTTTGCATTTGATAGGTTGATTTGAGAAGGGCCAACAACACTGAAATTATGCTAACGAAAGTGAAGATTCCACTTCCAGACATGATGGTAGGTTTTTGAATATTCATGTTTGGAACATCTTCAAATGTTCATTGCATTGCAAGCACTATGAGATGCATACTTATTATTTTAATAGTAAGGATAAATATAAAATTAATGGCCTCATGCAAAAAAATCAATTTCGTTTTGAACTCAATGATTTGGCTGCAGCCTTAGGGCCATTAGTTTACAAGAACTATAACTATAACAAGAAACCTAGGAAAATCCTACAAGAGTGAGGTGTGGGGAGGGTGAGTGTACACACCTTGCCCTACTTGGAAACTAGAGAGGATGCTTCCAAGAGACTATTTTCTTTAGAACAATGGCCAAGCATAGTACTTAATTTTACCTAAGAATCAGATTTTATTTGAACCAAATTAGACACACAGTAAAGAACTTGAAGCGATGGTGGGCAATGACGGTGAGGCAAATTCCAATTTAAAAGCCAACAAAAATTTGGACGAAAAGGAAGCTAGTAAAGAACTTGAAGCGATGGTGGGCAATGCTTTGTGATTGGGAGGTACAAGCTTGACAATAAGGATGAGAGCAGCGGTGAGGAGTCAAACAATGAATTGTTAGATTGAAAGATAAGGGCATTTGTGATCTTTCTATCTAATTTAACCCCCTCCTTAGTATTTGTACCAAAACAAAAGTGGACGAAGAGACTGGGACGGAGGGAGTATTTAGAAGCGAGAAATCATAAATGCTACATATTCATTTTCTAAAAGAGAAAGTGGAAAAGTGTAAATGTATTTTGGACATCCAAAAAAAGATAGCATAAACATCATTTTGTGGGACAGAGGGAGTATAGTTCTATCCTATTTTTCAGCTACCGGCCTCTAATACAAATATTGTGTACATGCATATATGATTATATACTCCATTTGTTCCTCGATGAAATTTACACTTTCCTTTTCTATTCATCCCAAAATAAACTTCACATTTGTCCTGTTTCATTTTTGGAAAGGACTATGTGGCTTACATCGTTTTTTTCTTTTCTAAACATATTCCAACCACACTTTTCAACTCTTCTCTTTGATTCCGTAAAGTCAAAATGGATATACGTGTGTGCGCGCGCGCGCGTGACTGCATGACTGCGAGCATGCATGCATGTGTACGTATATATATGCACATACACATCTGTACATTCACACACATTGTGTGTGTGTATATTGGTGCCCATGCTTTGAGCTAGTGACAATAGCTTTATTTTTACGCAAGAGAGAGGCAGACTGAACTTCTTTAGTCCTTTACTCCATCTGGCCTAAAATGAGGTTTTGGGTTTCACCCATATGCCTTTTTGGAAAGGTGAAAAAATTGTTGTCACAAATTATTTAGAGCGAAATAACATGAAATACAATCTTTTCCGTAAAAGATGCTAGAGCTTTATTTTGGAACATATTTAAAGGGAAGTAAGAATCCACTTTGTGGAATGGAGGGAGTATTTTTTATTTTAACATTCTTGGTCTTTTTAAGACACTTCTCTCTAACATTTATCTCTATTTTTTTCAACTTTCCCCATCCCAAATATATTCATGCAGGCTGCTGCATTGTCTATGGATGAGTCCATCTTGGATGCTGATCAAGTAGAAAATCTAATTAAGTTCTGTCCCACAAAGGAAGAAATGGAACTTCTTAAGGTGAAATTAACTAGTCTTTCTATTGTTTCTTCAGATGTAATTTTTAAACATAGTTCCTCTCTGGAAACTAAACTCCTGCCTGCAAAATCATAAAAAAAGCATAATGGATCTACCTTACCGTCTCTCTGAATCTAAGTGTGTATTCATTTATCTGTTACTTCATAGAATTACACAGGTGACAAGGATAATCTGGGGAAGTGTGAACAGGTATGCCCCTATATGGTATTCTGCTGTACTGTATTGCGTTTTGTGTGTCTGGAAGAGTTTGTATTTTCAACAGTTACCCTTCCATATACTTTTTTTTATTGGTAGCACTCACTGCACTCAGGCTGTATTTTTTACTCGGCACCACTCTATAGAGAAATATTCTTTCTATGATTAAAACTAAAATGTGCACACATTTTAATGCAATGATCAAATGAAGTCCAAAAGGATCATATAATTGTTGATCTTGAATCTAACAGTTGTGACTTGTGAGTTGTGAGACTTAATATCAATGGATGAGTATCTTTCTTTGGGTTCCGTTGCAACTATATAAATACACAGAAACACACACATGTTTGTATTCACAGACACACAATCTGTCTCATATATGTACACACACATAAAGTGTGTGTGAGAGGAGAGTTAATGCTACACCAATTATTTATACTTCAATTCTTACCACACTTATATCTTTCACCTGTTTTCCTACAAAACCCACAATAGAATCCAATACATAAATCATCTTCTACTTCAGGACAATCCAAAGTTATAAGTTGTTTCACACAAAATTGACTAACTCATAGTATATTCTTATGTTTTGTAACTAGCTATTACATTGTTTGTTCTATTGAGTGAAGTACAGAAATGTTTTTGATGGTTATGGAATTTTAGGAGAATAATTTTATGGTGGGTTTCACACGAAGAAAATTCAAGTGGTCGTAAGAATTGATGTATTAATAATAGTTATAACTTAACTATCTACTTTTCCACTGACATTGTTAACACTTCAATGACATTATCATTCCCATTCTTAACACTAACCTTTCAAGTCCCCAGGATTTTCATTTCTCAGTTGCCCACTCCAAACAGGAACACACTATTAGTGTGTCAACTAATTTCTCCTTATATTCATTGTGAATTAAATATGCTCTAATTAGATCATCTATTGGCATGACATGCTCTTAATTTTCTTTACTTATTTTGAAAATTTCAGTTTTTTCTAGAACTCATGAAGGTACCACGGGTGGAATCCAAATTAAGAGTTTTTCTCTTCAAGATTCAATTTAGTTCACAGGTTCTTACACACATTTAGTTTTCTGAAGTTCTAGATTGTTTTGTCGTCTAATATTGGCTCTTTTTTCAGGTCTCAGATTTCCGAAAAAGTTTAAGCACTGTGAACTCTTCTTGTGAAGAGGTACTACAATGGACGGATGTTAATATTCTCTTTCATTTTATTATGTTCCCACCCCCCAAACTTCTTTTAGGTCTACTTCTGCTTTAAGTAACTTATGCAAGCATCAGGTCCGGAATTCTTACAAACTGAAGGAAGTCATGTGGATAATTTTACAACTGGGAAACACACTGAACCAGGGAACTGCCAGAGGTATGAATATCTAGACTGAGATGGTCTCTCACTTCTTTATACTTGAACAAAGGAGAAATACTTATCTGCCTTGTTATCGGTGTTTGAATTTTATTTTATTCTTTGTTTTTTAATTTCTTTCTTTTTATACGAAAACAAGGCAGATGTATGAATATCTAGACTGAGATGGTCTTTCTTCTTGAATACTCGAATAAAGGAGAAGTACTTATCTGCCTTGTTATTGGTGTTTGAAAACAACAACAACAACCCAGTTAAATCCCACAAGAGTAGGGTCTGGGGAGGGTGTGTGTACGCAGACCTTGCCCCTACTCGAATGTAGAGAGGCTGTTTCCAAAGAGACCCCCGGCTCAACGTCGAAAGTTGCATTGCTTGACTAACTGCTACTTCATTAATTAAAGAAGCGCAAACAATTTAGAGATCCATTTTGATTTATTCCATCACACCCCAAAGCCAAAAAATGGTGAAATTTTGGCTCCATCGGAGATGATGGAAATTGTTATTGGTGTTTGAATTTATTTTTTTATTCCTTTTTTTTAATTTCTTTCTCGTCTATACAAAAACTTCTAATCCCCAACAATGGTACTTATTTCAAGACATATTACTCTCTCCGCCCCAATATATTCATCCACTTTCTTTTTGCACGTGTTGAACATTTTTATCAAACATACTGAATTAGAAAAGCTACAAAAAAAATTATATAAAACTAATTTGCAAGACAGTTTCTAAATCCATTACTATTATTTTAATTATCTTACAGTGTATCTTTTACTAAAGTTATTGTCTAAGACTCAAAGTTCATTAAATTTGACACCAAAAAAGTAAACATGGTGAATACATTGGGACAAAGGAAGTAGCTTATAAATCATGCACTCTATTTTTAGTAATCTTGAAAATTGTGTGCATTCCAACAGTACTCTCTATATTCATGTCTCTATTAATAACTTTACTAAACAAAAAGTAAGTGAAGAAGTGATATAATGATAGAGAAAAAAGTTATGGTTTGTGAGCCACTATTTCCCTAATCCCTCAATAGATTTAGAAAGAGTATCTTTCAAAATTTACAGGGAAAGCGTTTATTTTAAGAGTTCATTGGATGATTTTTTTTATTGTTAACATCACCCTGTAACTTTAGAGGATGAAGGTAATAGGGAGTTTGTTGGACATGCCTTTTAGGTTGTTGAGATACCAACTCCTGCACACAATGAATTGTATGGGCACACCCACTGAGATGATTATTATAGAGTATAAGGATTTTTAAGTGTATCTACCCTGCACACCATGAGTTGTATGGGCACACCCACTGAGATAATTATTATAGAGTATAAGGATTTTTAAGTGTATCTACCCTATTTCATTCATAGAAAAGAAAACAATGATTGCTTGCTTCAATAATTTTGGCATGGTGATCAGATTTACTTGGGCCCACATATTATTTATCAAAGTGCATCTATTATATGCTTTTTCTTTGAATTTAGGCATTTGAACTCAAATTCCAAGCAGTTTGGATATGCATATCCTGAATAACTGTTTACATTGATTTTAAGTAACCAACTTCTGCATAGAGGCTTTGAGAATCTACAACATGATTATATTGGATAAGAACATTACAATAATGCAGTATTCTAATACAAATAATAAATTAGTTATTCTTTACTGAGCATCAATCAGCCGCTCTGGATGGCCAACTTTATGTTATCTGTATAGTCCTGTAAGTGATTAAAGTACACCCTCAGGGTTAAGTTCAATACATCTACCTTTTCCAGGTTCAGCTGTTGGATATAAGTTGGACAGTCTTTTAAAACTAACAGATACTCGTGCCACTAACAACAAGATGACCCTCATGCATTACCTTTGTAAGGTAATGAACATATCTTCGTATCCCAGCTTGTTTGTTTGATATTTGATTTTCTCGTATTTCGCTTATGCTTCATGCAGATGAATTCTGTCATTACTCTTAAATATTGAGGCCAAAAAGATTTCATAGGTGCAAGCATAAAACTATATTAGGGGATATCTGATACACTGTTTTTTTTGTATATTACCTTTTTTCATTTTTTCAGTTTATCATTGTAACAACTTAATTTACAAGAGAAAGGATAGATAAACAATGGTTGTAGCTTTCCTGGATGGTTACACTATTGTGACATAATTTCACCTTTATTAATAAACATGCTCAGGAGATCTGGGTTTAGATTAGTTGGGTAGACCTATAGTTTGTAGTTTTTGTTGGTGTGTTGTTTGCCTTAGTCTGTTGTGTCCTTATATGCTTTATGTCTAGTTCTTAGAGTCCGCTTGTCTGCTTCTTTTGCTTCTTTTGTCCCTGTTCTTACTTTGTGCATGCTTCAGTAGCTTCTTTGTTTGTACTTTGGTCAATGAGCCGGGATTCTTTTGGAAACAACCTCTCTTTCTAGAGGGATGTTACCGGGTTTGTTTTTGAACATGTAATAAACTTGCCCAGTCAAATGTGGAATCTTAATTCGGGACAGAGGGAGGCTTTTGGAAACAACCCAAAAGAAGGATGTTATTGGGTTTTTTTTTGTACATGTAATAAACATACCCAGTCAAATGTGGAATCTTATTTTGGGAGGGACGGAGTAGATATTAGCACAAAACTGGAATGCATGATTTATATGCTCGTCTATGTCGCTGACATTGTAAGGTTTTGATGATTCAGTCATGTTCACTACAGAGGGTATTGCAATGGTCTAAATTATGCATTTTCAATATATCCGACCGAATTACGATCATCCAATGGCACAAGCATCTTTCAATGCATGATGATTTTGTGTTTGAGTGAGTGGTTCTACTTATGGATTGACACATGATTATCAATATATAATCAACATTCATAAGTTTTGTTGCTTGTTGTAGAGAATTGACTTGGTTGTGCTTGCTATCCTAGTTTTGTGTTCCAATGACTAAATCTAGTTTTCTGATTCTGCACTTTTCTTCATTATATCTGATTTTTGAGTGGTTCCACGATCTTATTCTTCCCCACCACTCAAGTTAGTATTTTGTGGTTTTGAGGTTGTATTTGCTAAATATTTGATTTCTCATCCATCAGGCTCTTGCTTCACGGTCACCCGCACTTCTGGATTTTCATGTGGATTTTGTAAGCTTAGAAGCTGCATCAAAGGTTATTATTTAATTTCTGTGTTTATGATCAATCAAAACATAATAACTAAATGACACAAAATATGAGTATTTTGTACTAAAATTTTGTTTTACCATCAGATACAATTGAAATCTTTGGCAGAGGAAATGCAAGCTATCATCAAGGGATTGGAAAAAGTAAAACAGGAACTGACTGCATCTGAGAATGATGGTCCTGTATCTGAAATTTTCCGCAAGGTATCTTGAATGGTATTTTAGTTTCGCATTCAGCTGCATTTCACTGTTTTTCATCTCATAAGCCAACAGTCTATCTAGATTCATCACTCGAAAATTAAAAAAATTATTTTCAACATTGAGATAAAAATTTCTTTTTTGGGGGTGCATTATGTTTTCTATTCATTTAGTTATTATAACCTTAACTCAAATCTTATAGATACTGTAATGGCCTTAGTCTAATAATAGTAATTAACCCTAGATTATGGTTCTACGAAGGACTTGTCTCCTAAATGTGACTCGCTATGTAACCATGTATAAGCTTGAATTATAATATAGTCTTGTTTCTTTCAAAAGGTGTTATAATGTACAAGGGAAATGTAATGATTTCAATATATTTTTTGTTCATTTATTTGTTATTACTTATTGCTAGAATTTAGGATGGGTAGGGATCATTGTACTTGGTCATAAGACACTTGGGTTAAACCACATTAAAAGATTGAATTTAATCAATTACTTAGTTCAACTCAGGAGCTTATATACCGATTATTTGTCTCTTCAACTTTTTAATGGGATACTTTAACACACCCCCTCAAAAAACTAAGGTTTCATGCGGTAGAGCTGAAGAGGCCATGTCTGCATGTGAGGGGACATGCTAGAATATTGTTAGAGTGTGTCATCCCACATCGGAAGTTCAAGAGCAAAAAGATCGGTATATAAGCTCTTGAGTTGAACTAACTAATCGATTGAATTCAATCTTTTAATGTGGTTCAACCCAAGTATCTTATTACCAATCCAGTTACGTTGTCCATACCCATCCCAAATTCTATCATGGTATCGGAGCAGGTTTTGGCCCACCTTGTTTGTCAAGGTGTCCGTCTAGACGTTCATTCCTAGCGGCCCGTTAGTCTTTAGCCCAGTTGTCCGTATGGAGTATGTATCCAACGACCTGTGGTCCGTTTAACACGATTGCTCGTATGGAAGTCCATACCCAGCGGCTCGTTGTCCTTTAGGTGTTGGCGTTCAAAAAAAATTCAAGAGAATGGGAGTTTATTTGCAAGTGGTCAACCGGTTAGATTCAAAATGGCCCGGTTGTCCACTTGAGGGGGAGTGTTAGAGTGTCATCCCACATCGGAAGTTCAAGAGCAAAAAGATCGGTATATATGCTCTTGAGTTGAACTAACTAATTGTTTGGATTCAATCTTTTAATGTGGTTCAGCCCAAGTATCTTATTACCCAATCCAGTTACGTTGTCCATACCCATCCCAAATTCTATCAAATATAAAAAACCTTTCTTGGGCCACAACCACAAGCTTGAGCTTTTGGTTGAGTTGGTTCTTTGACATGGTATCAAAGCAGCTCTGGTCCGGGCTCGAATCTTCCTAGTTGTTTGGATGGGGGTTTAGCAATATGAGCTACCTATTGATGGTTTGGGTTGAGTTGGCTATAAGAGATTGAGATGTCACTGCCCGTTGTGTGGGCTAGCTATAAGAGATTGAGATGCTAGACCCGTTGTCCAAGTGCTAACTAGACTAGGCTAGTTACCACTTCAGGGGGAGTGTTGTAGTTCCCATATTGGAAAACAAAGAGATATACCACTAGCATATATAGAAGGGTGAAATCCTACCCATCAGCTTAAGCTTTTGTATTACAAAGTGGATCCCGACTCTATATGCAAGTGGTTAATTTTACATGACACTCTGCCCGTTGTTCTTGGACCACCAGAATTTGAACACTTATTATAATTACTCCCTCCATCCCTCTTTAATGTACACTTATGGTTTTTTTTGCAAAGTTAAAGAAAATGAAATTGTTGAAATTTATTTTGAAGCAAAATAATCAATAATTCAATATGGACCACTAAATACTATCACCCAAAATGGAAGATGGGATGATTAAAAGGAGACAGGGAGTACATGCTATCATAGCATTTTAGAAAATTTGGTAGTCATCTTCTGCACATTTAACTTCTTATTTCTCTAAATATTTAAACACTTCACAAACTTAGGTCCAACAAATTGGAAGCATGAATATACACCTCCCCCTGCAGAAGGTTTTGTAGCCTTCGACAAGCCAGTTTCCACCACTCGAGCTCCTATCACATAAGCCTTATGCACTGCTGACACCGGAGAACTTACACAACAGCACATGATGGCCTAAGGCTGGTGAGAAACCCAATCCGTTACTGCCGAGACTGTACTCCTCCCCATTACACTCCGTTTTCCATGGTCTCGCTTCTGTGATATTTTTTTGGTAAACAGTATTTTGTGGCTACCACCAGGCACTGGCACACTCGGCAGAGATCAGACCCTTGCCCCACTCTCATGGCTGCCTCCTGGGTCCTCGCCATTATTATATGCTCAAAGGCTGATGCAGTGCCACGGTAGCTCAAAAGTTGTTTGTCCCAATCATATCACTCGCTGTAGATCTCAAAAGTTTAAGAATGAGCATACATGTTTGACTTCTTGATTGGTAGTTACTAGTGCTTATTTTCAGACTTATCATAGGTGGTTGCTCTATGGTCTCAACTCTCAAGTACTATATGAAGTAGGAAGTGATGTCTCTGATAAGTTAGGGACAGATTATAAATATGCAGTTTTGTGGGTTCACTTTTCAATGGAGGTGGGCATATGGAGAGGTATATACTAACAAAAGATAACATCAAAAACAGTGTGAACTGATTTGTTAACGGACAATAACTTTGGTGCATAACATGAGACATCCACATCTAGGTTGTAAGTGAACTAGTTTGTCGTGTGCTCGTTAGAAGTGGGCTAGGTCTGCTACATGTATGCTAAGACTCCTGAATAGAGCTAGCAAATCGGTCGGTCAGGTCGGGTTCGGTCACTTCAGGTTTGAATTACTTCGGGTTTGGGTCGATTCGTGTTCGGGTTGAAAACTGTGTGTTCATGACCCAGTATCATCGAGTTCGAGTAGACCCAACGGATTATCACTTTGGTTTTTAAAATTTTTAAATTCCTATTAGCACCTGCATTTCACATTAAATAAAATTAAAATATCAAAAAAATATGTATGAAATCTATTATATTATTTTATTTTAATTTTTGAAGTAATTTTTAGGCATATAAAGCAATATAAAGAATTGAAAAAATGCACAATTTTGGAAAAAGTAAAATAATTATGCAATATCATTAAAGTTTTGTTCGGAAGTATAAATTTATACACTAAAAATGAGTAGTGAGAAAAAAAATACAATTACAGCCTTATATTTATAACATTATACTCCCTCCGTCCCTATTTTGATTTCAATTTTTTTCTCTCTCCTCTCGATAACTTTTGTAAGTTTTGTTTATTTACACAATTAAGTATTTGATAAAATAAAATATTCTTGTCACCTCTTGTTTTGTAGAACTTTTGACATAGTTTTTTAATATGTAATTTTTATTTCTTATTCATATACCGATTTGTAAATAAAATAAATTTAAAAAGTGAGAAATTTTTCCTCGTAAACCCCCCAATTTGTAATCAAATTGGGGACGAAGGGAGTATTTCATAGTAAAGTATATGATTTTGAAAAAGTCCTACATTAGCGGGTCAAGTCGGGTTTGACCCATTTTTAGCGGGTGATTTTGGGTTCGGTCAACAAAACTTTTGTTCAAAACCCTGTATTTTCGGGTCGGATTTGGGGCCAAAAACAGGCTGGGTCATTGAATGTATCCAACAATTTAGAATAAAAAATGTAGATGCAGTTTCACTTCTTCTGAAAATGTTTTATTTTTCTTTCATTGCATAAAGTTGTGACTCGGAGCAAAAAGTTGATCTATATAAGGTTTCAATTTCCACTTTTAAAATAATAAATCCTAACCATTTTTATATGCATGTGATGAGGTTTGTTCTATGTCGAAACTGCAATCTATTTATCAGATCTAGTTAAATCTAATTAAATTTCTCATTCGCGCTTCTTATAAACAGACACTAAGAGACTTTATTGGAATGGCTGAAACAGAGGTGTCATCTGTGACAAATTTATATTCCACAGCGGTAATTCAAGCTTTCTCTATCCACTTTTTGACTAGTTATTAAATCCAAATTTTGTTTGGTACTGATCTTCTCTTTATACTTTTGATGCACAGGGAAGAAATGCAGATGCACTGGCATTGTATTTTGGTGAGGATCCCGCCCGTTGCCCATTTGAGCAAGGTTTGATCAGTAACATATTTCTTATAGCTTTGAATATTTATAAGCTATTAAACATAGGAACTCTATTTCGTGCCTCATTGAATTTCAAATATCTCCCTTAGATATTATATGCTTTATAGCCAGTGTTGAAAATTCAGGCAGTATGTCGATTCGGTCGGGGCATTGGTCCTTGGATCAATGTGTCAAATATGGCGTTGCCACATGACACAAGAAATAATGAAGTACATATGTGAACTATAGATAATGTAATTTTTTAATTCAACTGCAATAAATGAGTAAGTGAGTAAAACAACCTAATTGCAACTAAAAACACTTGGAAAGTGCTAGTCGTACTGGCTGTAACTTAACAGCAAAAAGTTTTGTGTATTCCAAAATATGTGAATTCCTTGTTAGGTCAATATGATCTAATTCTCATCTGCATTTAAATATGATAGGAATGACACTTTATTCTTATTCATTTCACTTTCAAAAGGATCTTCAATCTTATTTCTCATATCTTCCCCAGGTTCCTCATGCCCTTGATTAATCCTTGTTGCTCAAATGTTGCTACTCTCAATTTTGTTGAATCCTACTCCTTCTCCAACAGTTCTACATTCCAATTTTAAACTTCATTTTGCTCTGTGGCCCTTCATCTATCCATTGGCATGTTCGCTGACATTTTGTTTTTTCTAAAAGTTGTATTATGAAGACCTTGGTTTTGTTGAATGAACACTAGATCATTCATTTTTTGAAGGCAACAATCTTGTCATTTTCATACTTTAAACCTAAGATTAAAAGATGATGAAGTAGTAATTCACTTATTAATATGAATTAAATTTAAAAAACATGGTTTTGAAAATACATTTTCAAAAGGATTCCAATTTCATTCACTTTTAGAAGCACTACTAGTTGAACTGAGGATGCACACATTAAGATACTGCAAAGTTAGAGACTAAGAGAAATTTGCAAGACACCAACAAACTACACTTCCAATTTTCCAAGAGCGTAAAATATTATATCAAATTATCAATAAAAATATACAACTATGCAAGTCAGTGAACATTAAGCTGTATTGCGGGAAATGGAAAGTAGAAATTGTATTTTCCTGAAAGGTATAAAAATTCTAAAATCCAGATTGCATTCCAGCTGATTGTTTGCTTGTATTGTTGATTGCCAAAATGATCAGTTATCAAAGTTTTAGAATAGCACCACTTACAAAAGCTTTTGATAGCCTGTTTAACTTTGTGAGGTTATTCTGATGCACCTCATTCTAATGCTTTTGATAACTGATGCACAGTTACTGCAACACTCTTAAACTTTGTGAGGTTATTCAGAAAAGCCCACGAGGAGAACTTGAAACAGGCTGAATTAGAAAGGAAAAAAGCTCAGAAGGAGGCTGAATTGGAGAATGCTAAAAATATGAACACTAAAAGCACGAATCTCTCAAAGAAGGGTCCTAAAGGTTGAGAATCCCGATGAACTTATGGGGTACCAGTCTATCTGCTTAACTGCCTTGTGCACTGGTTGTATCCGTTTGCTCACAGAGCACAAAATCTACAGTACTTCTGAAGTGCCTTTGGCTTTTGTGGGGTTCATAGTATGAAGTTTTTATTTAAAAGGCTGTGAACTTGAATTGAAAGAGTAGTTATGGCTCAACAGGCAAAGGTATATATGGTCCTGGCGAGGCTGATTGGACATGCAATGCAATTTTGGAGTGTCAATAGAGATTTCAAACAATCATTAAACAAACAAGAAACATTATCGAATTGATAGTAGCTTCTCGTATGCCATGATGGAACAGAAGTTATTTATTTGGTTTATACCTGAGATGTTTCGGCCGAGAAGTGTAAAGGGGAAGATCTGAAGTTGTCCAAGAATCTTTGTACAGAACATAGAACTTGATTGGATTATTTCATTGTAACATAGAATATGTTCCTTTCCATGAAACAAATTGGTTGGGACTGGGAATTGACATCAGAATTTATTGTACAGGTATCTCAGTATTAGTGGGTAGCTAGATTGGGTTAAGTGTAGCAGTAGTGTAACAAAGAATAAGCTTTCAGATCAGATAGATGCCTCTTTCACCGAATGCCAATTCTTTCTATTCATTTATTTTTGAGCCATATTCTTTTGCCATAATATTATTGCATTATACTATATATCCATTTTAAATAAACATCATTGAAGTACTCTGTATTTCATTTTGTTTTGTAGTTCTCAACTTTGTCACTGTCATGAAATGGTACTATGCTTTATCCTATTCATTCATTTATTTTTGAGCCATATTCTTTTACCATAATATTATTGCATTATACCATATATCCATTTTAAATAAACATCATTGAAGTACTCTGTATTTCATTTTGTTTTGTAGCTCTCAACTTTGTCACTGGCATGAAATGGTACTATACTTTATCCTATTCCTCCTCCAGCATTTTGTGGGTTGGGGGGGGGGGGGGGGGGGTNNNGGGGGGTTATTATCCACTTCCATGTTTCATTTGACCTCAAGAACTTGGTTTCCAAAGATGTGTTCATTCGCGCTGGCACGGGATGGGTCGGGCTAATTTTCATAGGACCCGGCCTTGAACGGGGCATGGTGGGTTGAAAAATTATTTGGAAGTGGCCTTAATAAAATAAATTGAAAAATTTAAAAATTTACTTCGTTTTGTGTAATATGATATTTTTGGGGAGGAGAATATTTAAAAGATTAAATTTTCAAATTGGTACCATATAATTATGTGTTTTTTTAAATTAGTATCAAAGTGTTAGTTAAGGAGGTTGTAATCCTTAACTAATACTCCCCCCGTCTGAAAATGTTTCACGTTTATTGGTCAAAGTTTATAAATTTTGGCCTTGATATGTAAAAATAGTACATTATATTATTATGTAAATTTAAGATCATATATTCCTATAGAAACATAGTTTCCAAATATCAGATTTTTATAAAATATATCTATATATGAATATAGATATTAATCGTCAAAATATAATATTGGAGACTGTAAAAAGTTAAATGAGAATAATATTTTCGGACGAAGAAAATATAGTATTGCTAATTGCTTAGGTAAGTCTCAAGACCCTACTTTTGTACTCTTGATAGGATTCATTTGGATTGTTGTTGTAGATTAGCCATCTATTTTAATTTTCTTAGTGCTCTAAAACTTAAATAAAATTGGAAACTAAAAAATTCCATATATTTTTGGGATGTTTTGGAAAGAATTGAATGGGTTAATTTTTTTAGAGTAAATTACATAAAATGTCCCCAGTTATAAATCGTTTTACATATTTAGTCCGTACATATCAAATATCAATAATTTAGTCTCCAGTTATTATATTGTTTCCACAAATAGTTTTCTGTTAACGTTTTCGTTAAGAACATAGAAAAAATTATATATTCACACCTCTTTCTCTTCAATTAAACTTCCTCCTTCCTCGTACTCATTGCCAAACCCGTCGCTGAATTTGAAGGTCTAAACCCAAAACCGAAACGATCACTCCTCTTTTAATTGTTCATCTTCTTGGTGAAACCCAAAATCGAAACCAATAATCTTCTTCGATAAATTTTATGGGTTAGTCTCAAGAAATTGCAAAGAAAACAAATCTTAAAACTCATCCATGAAAGTTATTAGTTTCGATTTTGGATTCCACCAGGAAGACAAACAATTGAGAGAGGAGGGATGCTTTCGGTTTTGAGATCAAAGCTTCAAACTCAGCGATGGGCTTGAGAAAGGAGTGCGAGAAGAGAGAGGAAACTTAATTGAGAAGAGAGGAGCGTAAATTTACAAATATTTCCACGTTTTTTATGGAAATGTTAACAAAAGACCATTCGTGAAAAAAAATATAATAGTAAAAGACAAAATTTGGTAAATTTACACATTTTTTTTATTATCAAATTAATCATTGAGGCAAGCGTATAAGCGTATTCTTACATTTTAATCTAATGCGGAGCAATTTTTCTTCGTTCTTTTAGTTACTTTTAAGGCCAATTTTTATTTTAACACTCCCTAACATAATTGCAAATCTTTGATCGGATCAGATTTTTGTGCTATTTTAAAATTAATTTTGAGCTTTGAAATTCACAAAAAAGATCTAAAAGAAGTACAAAACAATACCTAATACAATTACACAATTCGGTAAATTTCATGTGCAGGGCTCATGTCCATAAAATAATTGTCCACTAACGGCTAACGCACTAGATGTAAATCAAAACATTCGAATCATTATGACAAAACCTCTAATCTAAGAAGTATGGTTAGGCTACACATGATCCATGAATGTCATATTTTCAAACCCAAAGTTATAACAGATAAATTTCTTCTATAGTCCTAATGAACCAAATAAATACTCCCTCCGTCATATAATGATCTTCTCAGAGCACTATTCCAACTTCACGGGAATTTGTATTTATTTGTGTTTTTTCATGGCCTATATGATAAAATAAAATATTCTTGTCACCACTTGTTTTGTTGAACTTTTGATGTAGTTTTTAAATATGTATGTTTTATTTTTTATTTCTATACCAATATTTAAATAAAATAGATTGAAAAAACTTGAGATTTTTCTTCGTTTTGCGAACCGGAAAGATCATTATAGGATGGAGGGAGTACTTGTTTACTTCTCCCTCCATTATATTTTAAGTTGTTTGTTGTTGTTTACGATGTTTGATTGAAGTTATTTTTAAATTAATTTATTTGAAAATTATGGTTTAATTATAAAATAAAATGTATACATTTAAGAACTTGATAAAAAATTCTACATGTGATATGACCATATTATTTTATTAAATGATACAAAAATAAATAAAGAAAGTTATTAAACTTTAACCATGTAAATAGTAAACAACTAACTTAAATGGAGACAGAGAGCAGTGCAACAAACATTTTTTAAATATAACAAATTTTTTTCCTAAAAAAATACAACAAATAATAAAAGTTATTACTCGTAAAAAAAATTGGGAGTAGTAATACTGCATTCGTAATACTCCTACTCCAAAAACAAAACAAATAGCAGCATGATATGATAATGCTGTATTAATACGATAATAATCACCCGTTTAACCAGATTAACAGTGAAATTATTTCAACTAATTCGGAAAATATTTAACAAAACATCCAATAATTTAACTAAAGTGTATACACTACTCTCATTCATTTAATCATTTTCACAATCAAGTTTAGTATGGGATGGCAATATTCCATTTTGAGCCACCTGAGGATATAAAAAAATAGGCAACAATAGTTTCAAGAACAAGAACAACAGAGTACAAATAGGCAATGAACATCCCCTCCATGGCCACTGAAAAAATCCCAGTTTCTCCATTGTCATGATAACCCCTCACAACTCTGTACTGGAACAGAGCTTCAACGGCAGCCATTACAGCGTTGATCCACACCGATAGCCACAATGCCGTTTCCGTTCTTCCCTTGACCAGACCACAAGCCTTGCTGAGAGCTGCCATGAATCCCCCTGTTTTCTCCACTCCTGTAATGATCAGTGCCAAAGGGCAAATGATGAAAGTGATTGAAACTGTGGAGGAGGAAAGGACTGCTCCTGTTGCAGAGAGGAATGGGACGAGCCCGGGGAGACCAGAAACCCCGAACCCATCGGCCAGGTTGAATGCCAAGAACACCGATGAGAAACACGTTGCGTACGTGGAGAGGGTAAAAAGGGAATTGCAGATTTGGGTATGGATCAAAACGGCGTAAAGTTTGAAAAAATGCGAAAAAGACGCGTTCTTGGGATGATCTTGACTGGTGTGGAGAGCGTGGATGACAGAGGCTTTGCTGAAGATGGAGGAGGAGAGGGAGGAAGGGAGGGCAAGAACCGCCACGGCAATGGTCTCCGGGAGCTTTCTTTCAAGGATTGAATTGGGAGGGAACCCGGACGCGTTAAAGAGGGCGCGAATGCGGGCCCGGAGAAGGAGGACGAAGGAGGAGGAAGGGGTGAGGGATTGGAGGAGGAGAAGGGATACTGCATATGGGAAAGCCAGTAGTGCTGCAGTGATGGTGAAGTATTTGTAGCTCTGCAGAAATGCAAAGATTGATCTTCTTAGGATGTAATTTGATGTTCTTTCTTCCATGGAAATATTTGTGAGGTTTCTTACTTCTTGCTTAGAGAAGGAGAAAAAAAGGACAATGGGTTGTGGTTTTTTTTTTTAATTCAAAAGTGAATCGGACTTGAAGTATAGTAAAAAAAAAAATAAGTCTCCTTAATTAATGGGTCAAGCACGAATTGAAGAGTAGTAGAGCCTAGGTGAAAAAAGAGAGATGGAGAAAATATGGCAAGGAGAAGAGAGAAAGTCCAAAAGTCTTTTTTCATTGTTCATAAGAAATTAAGAATACGATGGGGCTTTGCCAACTTTCTCGGGGTTGGACTGGACGGGTCAAGTGTCCGATTCTGGATATATCGGTCTGATCAGTCGGTTTAGTCCTGTTTTAATAAAATTGTTTTCAAGAGAGCCCGACTCATTAGCTAAAGATGAATAAGACACGGAGTATAAAACAATCAATAATATGGTCATGTATAACTCACCTGACAAAAAACGATCCGATCTATTTATGTCATATAAATTACTTCAAATATCAAAAAATAAATAAATGTAATTAGCTGAGGTCAACCCGAACCAGAGGACACTAGGTCATGAGAATATAGTGCTCGTTGCTCAATCCGAACCCGAATTTACCTAAACTCGAAATAACCCGACCCCGACCAATTTGCAAGCTCTAATAACACACTATAAAATTGGGTATAACATTCGACTAACAATTTTTTAATTAAAAATTGCAAAGTGGATGCACTACCCTAATGTAAGGGAAAACGAAATAAGAAGACAAAATGTAAGAGGAGAAAAAAACAAATTTCTTCCATTTTAGTAGGGAAATCCATTTTCTTTTCTTTTCCTTCCAAATTTCTTGAACCAAACAAAATGTAAATGAGTTTTTTTTTTGTATTCTACTAGAAAATTTATAAGCTATAACGCTACATGCCTATTACTGCAAACAACCGGAGGGTGGTGGGGGGGACTTATAATAATAACCTTAATTTCTTGCTTAAAAGATTTTGAGAAACACCCTTGGCTTATTGGAGCACCTCCAAATAGCCATTCTCTCGGCAAAATGGTTGCCTGCAGATAGAACACCACCAGCAGTGGATAGTTCCAC